CAATTTGTTTGGAGTAGAAGGACTGGAGAATGATGCTTGGTGGCACTGTGAACCTTTGTAGACTGGCTGCAGTGTCAGCATATGAACAGTGTAGGAGTTTCCAACAGAGCTGGAAGAAAATGGGAAAATGGTTGGCCAGGGAGTTTTCCTGGAAATGCATTTTCAGCAGAATCCAGCAGCTCTGTGGTGTGTGGTGACTTCAATGAAACTTGATGAATTTATAAACTGTTCTGAACTTCTCATTTTGCTTCTGCACTACTGTCAGTCCCCACTAAGAACTGCAGCTTTATATGATATATACTTTGATTAGACTTTGATTAAACTTTGATAGAGACTTTGATTAATAGCACTGTATGGAGAAGCCAGAACAAACTCCCCAAAGACTGATGAAGAAAAAACTGTCAATTCAATAAACAATGAGAAGGTAATCTATAATTTAAACAATGTGTTAATTAATACAGTAAAAATAATGTAATCTGTGGTAAATCCAGGGAGAAATCTTGTCTATCTGCTCATCGAGGTGTAGCTAGAACACCATGCCCTTGAATAAGACAATAGTAACTTAGGTTAACAGATGGACGTCTTTTTCCAATCAGATGGTCAGCAGGATTTTTTGCTTGCTGGTTTTTAATCATTTTAAGATGAGAAGTCTTTCTAAAATCAAATGGCATAGTGGGAAAATCCAAGTAAGTAAAAGGAGAGTGCCAAGGGATGACTGCTGGCCTGTGGACAGGATTTCAAAATGAGATGCCACAAAAGGGACAGGTCTGACCTTTCTTATCCACCCTGATGCTGTGCCCCCCTTGCCTCCCCAGGTCTGTCACTACCCATGTGTGACAACCCCTGTCCTGGGGAGTACTGTTGGATCCCGCTGAGCCTCAATCAGCTTAGCAATGGGGAAAATAAAAGTGTGTGAGGGACTCAGTGTTCAGCCATGGGAATGCCAGTGATGTGACAGGAGCATGCAGGCTGGGTAGGAACTTTTCATGATTAAATTAGAGGTTTTCAAGGGCACCCTGCATGAAGTTGGCTTCAAGTAACTGGAATAACCCCACTAAGTGAGCTTGTTCATCCAGGTCTGTCTTTCACTTTGTCATCCCTAAGACCTGTCAAGCCAGTAGAGTAAATGCAATGAGATGTGATCGTTATGCTGGATGTCCAGAGACACAACCAAGGAAGAGTCTTGTAGCCTTTAGACTGCTCTTATTTTGTCAGCAAATTTGACTGATACTTAGTCTATGGTAGTTTATTGCGAAAGAGCTTGTTTTTATAGCAAAGACTGTGAAAGTACTGCTTATTTGCTAAATGGCTTGAGGGATGGCAGCATTTATAAGGGAATTACTTGCAGCCTTCTGAATTTATTGAGATAATCCCTGTGACTTGGAGGTAGAGCCAGTGAGGAATCTGACTGCCCAGCCCTGGGAGCAGAATGAAAAACATGGGGCAAAGGGTCCAGGTCCCCAGGGAGTTTCGTGCCGTGGGTGTAAGTAGGCCGGCACTGAGGTCAGTAAACCCGCCCCAGCCACCAGGCTACTGCTGTTACACTGTTTCTGACAGGTGAACTAGGTCATCTGCAGGTGGTTCAGACACTTCTGCCCACACATATGCCCTTATGCAAAGAGATGCAAGTTGAGCATCAGTTGTTTCAGTGGACTTTCTGCCTTTGCTCGCCCCACATGCAGAGCTGTCCGATTCATCGTACATTTCCCACCTAGAACAGGAACAGTGAAGCTAGTGACTGCCATCATGAAGCTGCTTAGGGCAGGATTGTCCTACAGGGTAACTAAGGGAGAGGAAAAAGAGAAAAAAGAAGGCAAAAGAAGAAAAAGACAATGCAGTTTGAAAGTGCTGCTGGTTCAGCAGAGAAGTTCCTGTGGTAGTGCTGTGTTCAGAGCAAAGGCAGGAGAAACAGACTCCCATGAGGAAAAGACTGAGGAATTACTTATTTCAAGGTACATCTGTCTTCTAGAGAGCAGATATTTCTTCAAACTCAAAGGAACCAATTGAGTGGAAAAGGTAGAGGTAATAGGAGATTAGCACAGCTCCAGTTTAGTCCAGCATCAGACTGAAGTTGTTCGTCTTGAGGAATTAGTGCTGAGAAATCATCAGCTTCCCCCATAAGCAATTTCATTCCTTCCACTGAGCTGGATGCTGGTTGTAGGCAGAATAAGAAAGATCATTGCCTCTATTTGTACCAGTTTTGGTGAAATCTTGAAAAAGAATCAGATTTTTAGATGATAATTTAGCTACTCTTCTGCTAATACTCAGATATCTCTGGGTGACGACACAGAAGAGAGATGCCAGTCATGACTGTTGATGGCCTCTTGCATAAGCTGCAGCAACACGGTGCAGTGGTACACAATCTTTGTTAGAAGTTTACACTGCAGTTTTCTAATTCGTGCTTGGGGAAATCAGGCAAGTGCTAAAGGATCCCTGTGGTGCATCCTCTGGCCTTTTGAAGTGGCCCTCGCTGCAGTGTATGGAAGATTGAGAGAGAAGGTTTTGCACACATTGCACGTGCTTGTGTGTTTTTCTCACCTTGATTAGCAGAGTTTAGTTACTGAAATAAGAAATTATCCATACTAAGCCAGCCTCTATTATAAAACTTGGAATCTTTAGTCACATTGACAGCATTCTCCTATTGGGAATGATGCTATTTTGGTGCATATGGAATGAAAAATATACAATTTCATAAATAAAATACTTAAAAGTTTTTCCTGCAGTTATTAATGGTTTGATATTAGAAATACCCTGCTAGGCAATTCATTTCCCATGCCAAATTTGTGGTTTAAGAACATGGACCAGTGATGTCACTTAACAATTCCCATAAAAACTTTGTACTGCGGGACAGAGAACTAAAAGAACAATAATAAAAACCAAGTAGCATTCTCTAAACAAATAAAATCAATCAAGCACTCTGTTTATTGATCCATGTTAGAAATCTCTCTAACTGGCTCAGTGAGTGGACAGCTAGCTGAAGCATATACCTTATGGCTGGACCTTTTAAAACACCCAGTTGTAGCATGATATCACTGAGAGAAATTATGCTCTCCTTATGCAGCCTCACAGGAAATCCAGCATCCTGTGGTACAAAGCATTATCCTTAATATTTCTTTAAAAAAGGAGAGAGAACAGAGAAAGGATTTTCACAGCTGGCAAGGGTGAAAATATAAACATATTAGCTTTCATCAGGAGAATATAAAGGTACTCCTGCTTAAGGAAATACTACAACCATGTTTAATTTTCTTAGTTTCTTTAAATGGAGCCTTTTCTTCCTGGAAGATGGAGGAAAATGGGGGAAGAGAGGATAAGTAAATATTTTCAACCTTATCAGCTGAAATAGATAATTATAGTTTTATTCCTTTTTGGTTTCCGATACATAGATTTCACAGAGCTGATTGTAGGCTTCAGGAACCATTTTTGCCTTTTAAATTGAAGCATTTCAGGTCTTCTCTAATTAACAACCACTTGTAGAGTGTATCACAGGCTCAGTGTGTACTCACCAACCACATTTCTCAGAGACAGATCTGTTATTGCACTAAAATGAGGGCGAGAGGCACTCTGTATTAATAGTTTATGAAGATAGCTAAATTACATCTGACCATACAGTATTCTGGCTATGTTCTTCTCCTAAGTCTCTCTCTGGACTCACTTCTTCTGGGGAGACAAAGCTTCTTGAAGTGATAATACCTTCTCCTGAATAATAATAGTTCAAACTGGTTGGTGTGGGGTGTTACCATTTTGAGAAATAGCTGGAGGAAACGCTTAGGCAACCTTCCTTATACAGAGCATCAGCTAATTAAAAGAGAAATTTTGGTTTTCTTTTCCCCTTAAGGTAACAGAGTTTTAGATCTAAAGAAACAAAAACACAGTAAGAAGGACAGCTCTTTATTAGATGACTGTTCAAAGAGGAGGTAAAGGAAAAGCCTCTGGTTTATCCACAGGAAACTGCCCAGGATCAAGGTCTTCACACAGTGACCCACTTTGTGCCCAGTCCTTTTTCACCCAATCAGACTCCCTGAATGTTACTCATAATAAGCTAACTGACTCCAAATTTCTCAGAGCAAGGTGCTGTCACATTTTTATCTTGTACAGTGCAAGTACGCGAACTGTTTCTTAAAAACAAATGACAAAAAAGCTGCATTTCCTTGCTCCCTCTGTCCCTCTGCTTCTCCACTCCTCCTCCCTGCACTCCTCGCTGCCTCACAGCATTTTTGTTACCTCTGGATTCCAAGCTCTCATTCACTTCATTCACTTGCTAAAAATCTCTGTCCAGGTGCAGCCATAAGGCAAAACAATGGGGCAATACAAAAGGACAGCTGTCAGGTAGCCAAAAGTAGCATCAAAAAATCAGTAGAGGATGAGATATTCTAATATCTGCATCACCTGACAAAACCGTATGGCAGGACATATGCATGCATTTACCATTTTAAAGAAGTAATCACACTTGCTGAAAGCATCAATCTTAGAAGGAAACACAGAGTGTGAAGCAATGAGTACTGCTCAGGAGATGACCTGAGACTCAAGAGAACTGGTGGACACAAAAACTGGCATTTTCTTCACAGAATAGGTGTTATCGTCTGTACCATCTTCTGTTTTGCATAATGCCATATGAACCTCATTACTGCAATTTGGAGGGTTTTGAACATTCACAGAAAGAAGCACAGGGAGAAGAGTAATAGCTTGATTGATGCAATTTTCACATTGGCCCAGTGGTTAATCAGAAGAGCTCTTCTATTACAGGGACATGCAGAAAGCAAAACATTATAAATCCTACCCACAACCCAGGACCATTAAGAAATGCTAAAAAAACCCTCTAACAACACAGGCTTTCTTGACAGAATCATTGTTAATAGCTCAATACCAGCTAGCAGGCAAGATCTGCTCTTATGCCAGGACTACAAGGCACACAGCAGTTTGAAAGAAGGATAAATAAGTATGTGTGGAAATTATGTCCTGAAAAAAAATATAAAATCCAAATAGATTAAATGAACCCCTACCTTGGAGAGCCTGGAGTGTACGAGTCTGTACAACAATACAGAGCTGCAGGACCAGCTGTGGTGCACTTTCCAGAAACGTGGCTAGCAAATGCAGCATACTCACATCTGCATACTCATACACCATTTTCCAATAAAACCGCCATCTGTCATTCTCTCCACTCTGTCGACTCCGGATACCCAAGTACATTGTGTGAAAATACCTAGAAATAAAAAAGAGTGGTTATAGAAATGCAGAGTGATATTGATGCCTTAAGCCCCTATTAGTTTTTTATTTTTCTAATTTTTGTAAGTTTTATAGGTTTTATAAGTAATAGAAGTAGATTTTAAAAGCAGCAATCCTCACTCCCTTTCCCTGTAGTACAAGTAGTTTACACATTCCTTAACCCTCTTACCCCATTCTATGCTCCCCATATCAAATCTACGCCTGAATTCAGTGGCAATGTTTAGTCTCTTGTCAAGGCAAGGCCTATACTGTTTAGAGAACACTCATATCTAGGCCTGAACAACAGAACAGAGTCAAGAACTAGATGACTATGTACCCTTTGTGCTCTGAAGATGGTGAAGATGATGAAGAGATGGTCCCAAAATGCACCCCAGACTCAATTCTAAGGGGTTGGACCCAAGGCAGGTCAGAGTAAAGGCTATGGGGTGGACACACTTGGGATTGGACGGATGGTATTATAAATGTAACATCTCAAGTACAGCCGGCACGCGTCTTGTAACATCTATTGCCTTGGCACAATTAAACTCTTTCCTTATCTCACCCTAATTAACTGCTCCTGAGTTATTTTTTAGCATCAACATTCCACGGCATCAATATTTTACAGGTTATACCTCTGCTTGAAAATAATATATTTTTCAATGTACTTCAAAATAATGAACATTTATTTGAAAGGATTGTTGTATTTCAATTTATAACAGTTGATGTGATAAGAGTAAACTAAACTGAAGACAAGACAAGCCCTCATAAAGCCATTAAAAAAGCTTAGTACTGTCTTATTTGTTACATAGCATTTCTTTCAAGGACCCAGTTTTCTGATTTGAAATATAAGGGTGATATCTTGATTACATGGCCTTCCTCAGAAGTTTTTGAAGTAAGGAGGGGAACAAAGCTGACTCTTTAATGATCTCTACTCAGAACCTGAAAAGAACTAGTCTCCTTTCTGCATGGCTCTCTGAGGACTTCGAGGACCACGTGCACTGCAAAGCTGGGGTGGAGCCCTGCTAGTGCCTAGAGCCCTGCTATGGCTGAGCTCATTGTCCTGCTTTTCCACCCGTCAAATACACTGAGTATTGTATTCTAGATACTGCCACATATATAGTGGTTTTTTTCTCATAGTTTGATTATTTTAGGAGGAGAGAAGATGTAGCTGAGAGTTCTTATTTTAGGAGGAGTGGAGGTCTGGCTGTGGGTTCCCTTGGTGATTCGAAATGACTCACTACAGTAGCTCCTATGCAGCAGCAGCAGTAAGAAGCAGCAGGAGCCAGGAACCCAACAGGCTCTTGCTGCTCAGAGTAGTAACCAGCAGATAAAGGAAGCAATAGTCAGAAAGTACATGTCAGCACTGGTGACCTGTGCAAGCATTGGGAAATACAAATGGCAGCCAGCCCATTAAATAGATTTTGGCTGGTGCAGGAATGACAAGTGGTTTTAGGAAAAAAGGGATGTCTTCTGATGGCCAGGCCACCCAGCTGCTGTGGTGCCTGTCATGATCCTTGCAGTTTGCAGTGGTCTGCCATGATACACCTGAACTGCAGCACAGCAATTGCTCCAGGTGGCCTTTGATTTGCTCTTTTACTCTGATCTGCTCTTTGTTATTCTGTGTCAGAAAGTCTAGGCTCCCACCTTGTCCCTACAATTTTAATTCCACACTAATTAAGACTGGTTGAAAAAAATCCAGTCTTGCTTAATGAAAAATTCTGAAGATTAAAGTATTGTCTTGCATCAAGGTGCCTTGCATCCTACTGGAGTGCCCTGATGGGCTACTAACTCATGTGGATCTCTGTTTCTCTTTTTATCAAGGTATCTTTCATATCCTGGTCCTGACAGCATTTTCTTATGATGTTTTTAATATGTTTTCATAGTATTTTTTAAGTGAGATTATATTTTATAATAAGAACAATTTTAATAAATTATAACCAGTTTCAATATGAATTCTTTTAATTGGTTAAAATAAAGTCTTTCGGTATTTCTTCTTTTCACAAGTTCCTGTCTTAAAAGCCTTTTCATAACTGGTGGAGCACTGTGAATTTTGAAACCTCTTTTATATAGGTTGCATGCAAACTTTCATCCCTACTCTGTTCAACTGTAACTCTGTAGGTGTCTGCTGATGAGATTTTTGGCCTCTGACTGACAAACAGCCCAAGACTGAGTTGCCCCCTTGAAGAATGACACTGTGCTTGTACCCAATGAACCCTCGTACTCAGTGTACTCTTGTACTCAATGTGCATGCTACTGCAGAGTGACAGCTTTATTCAGAAGTATGCACCAAGCAAAACCAGGACTAGCATGGAGAAACAGCTGAGAGGCCAGACCTGAGCCTGCAACATTTCTCTTGACAATGCACATCATAGCAATATAAAAGGAAAACACATTAAACTCACATTTAAATTAAAATCACACCGGGTGGCTTTGAATTTTGTCAAAATCCCATGTGGAGTGAAGCAGCAATGAACTGCTCAGAGACTGAGACCACAGAGGTACAGTGAACAAGACACCAGCTGTAATTCTCACACAAAACACTGAGCAGGTCTGGATGGGTCAGAGTGTGATGGGATAACTGGGGCTCTCTGATGTCTTTGGGTTTAAGTAAAGTGAAATGGCCTGCTGTCCAGATTTGAAAGAAGCCACTGGGCTGGAAAGGCACCTTGTGCTGCACAGTTCTGTTAATAGGGTCCATTGGACCCATAGGTTCTCAGTCACAATCCATTTAATTGTTCCTAGACCTCTCATTAAAGTCCTGCGGTGCAAAAGGGGTAGATAAGACTTGTATTTCCTTCTGCAGTTTATTTTTTGGGTGGGGTTTGTTTGTCCTACCTAACATGTCACTTTCAAGGGGCACACCTTGGAATATTGCATAGTGGAGGCAGACAGCATTTTCAGCATCCTTCTTTTAAGCTATCACTAATCCTTGCTAAAAATTCCTAAAGTAGCTGTGGTTGCTGAAGTTTGTGCCAGGAGGCTCTAGCTCTGCCAGTGGAGCCATCTGCAACCTCAGTTCTACAGCATTTGTAAAAAAAAAATACTTTTCCTATTACAAAAATGACATACTGTGCCAGGTGAGGTCCCCCAGGGTTCTTTACCTGCTCTGCAGAGTGGTTGTGCATGGCAAATATGTTGTGATTAATGAACCCATATGGAAATATTTCCTCTCCCATTGCACTTTATTGTGAAACACTGGCAGTGAATTATTGAGGACTGGGGAATCATTGCTCTTTGTCTACTTAGCTCTCTGCAATTTAGACACAAGAGGTAGAGGAGGAAGATACTTTCTGTTTTTACACGCTAGGGAGCAAATTTCAGCCTAGGGTGGTATTTTTTTTGTCCTTTCAATTTTGGCCAAGTTAACTGCAGGCTGAAATGAGCATTCACACACGTAGTTACTGTCACTGATTTATAGGCACAATCAGGTGATTAGACAGCTAAACATTCTGATTTGCATCCACAATTAATTGCACCAGCAATTGATGTTAGGTGCGCAAATTAGCAGTTATTAAAATAAAAAGATGGTCTCATAAAATGCTTCATATATCAAAGACACTTTTTTTCTGATTGTGAAATAGAAAGAAGAAAAAAACCGAGAGAAAGTGCTTTCTTTTAGTGCCTTCCAAATATAGCTTAACACTGCAGTAATGACACATTCTGTTTTATATATATATGCTTTATGTAATTCCACTTTTGACACCCTCACTGGAATCCTATTGTCAGCAAATGACACATAGATACACTCAGAAGTAGTTCCTATTTTAAACAGTTTTTATATTTTGGTCTTCTGGTATTGTTTTGGTGGGAACTCACGGTGGGAACTCACACTTTTATGTGAGTTCAAGTTGCAAGTCTTATACACAATTATTCCAGAAAGATATAGGAAGAAGTGAAAAAGAGTTCTGCACTGGAAAATATCTTAGGTTTATTGTGGGGTAAACTGATGTCAATGAACCTAAAGCAGCAGATCTGAGCGTTACTATTTTGGTTGTGATTGCATCCAGTCAACTACAGTCTTCTGCAAGTGCTTTGCAAGTATACAAACACTGCCTATTCATGTCCCCAAAGAGCATTTAATTGACATGAAAAGAGATGACAAGGAGTGGAGAACTGAGTTAGATAAAAAAGGAAAAGAAGAAGGAACAGAATGTGTGGTAACAATACTGCCATCTAGTAAAGTAACTGCTTCATCTGAGAAATCAAGATAGTCCATCAAAATTTCTTATTTCATTAAAAGAGTAAAAACAAATAAACACACACACATACCTCTTCCCTCCTCCCCCCCTCTCAAATTTCACAGCTCTTCTGTTTGTGGAGAAAAGCTTAGACGTAACTGAGTTTCTTAAAGATTTTACAGTTGGAAGACTATGAAACCTTTTCAATGAAGACAGGCTCAGAGAGTTAAGGTATTCATCCAGGAAAAGAGGAGGCTCCAGACAGACCTTATTGTGGCTTTCCAGTATCTAAAAGTGGCCTACAAGAAGACTGGAGAGGGACTTTTTACAAGGGCATTTAGTGACAGGACAAGTGGGAATAGCTTCAAACAGAAAGAAGGTAGGTTTAAATTAGATATAAGGAAGAAATTCTTCACTGGGAGGGTAGTGAGATATTGGAACAGGTTGCCCAGAGAAGTCATGAATGCCCCATCCCTGGAAGTGTTCAAGGTCAGGTTGGATGGAGCTTTGAACAACCTGGTCTAACAGAAGGTGTCCCTGCCCATGGCAGGGAACTGGAACTGGAAGATCTTTAATGTCCGTTCCAACCCTAACCATTCTGCCAGTCTGTGATTCTATGAAATGTACTAAGAAAAAGAAATATCAAAACCTTATTATTTTAATTTTTTTTTTTTTAAGACAGACCACTGCTTGGGTTGTCAATGCAGATTTAAACAAGCTTACTATTCAGAATTAAGACAATGGAGTGGGAAGCAATACTTCATATATCATTGATAATCAGGTGGCAACATACATATTGTTATTTGAAGCTTAATGTCTT